AAAGAAAGAAATGAAAATGTTCAATAACAATGAATAATTTATCCTACTGTGCCAGAAATTAAAATATAATAAAATACAAAAATATATAGCAGTAAGAATAAAACAACATGGGCCTTGGAGCCAATAGATTTAGGTCTTGAATTTCAGGATCTTGGACAATTAACTTAATATCTTTAGATAAAGTGTGTATTATAGACCCTAATTGTTCTACTCCCCATCCACACCCCCAAGTTCACATCCTGGCCATGGTCTSSTGAAYRGAATATACTTCCCCGTCTTTGGCCCTTGGGCTTGGTGGTGTGCMTTGGTTTGGTCAGCAGCTGCAGGCAGAAGTAACAGTGTTTCAGTTCCAACAGTGTTTCAGTGCTCTGGCTTCAGAAAGTTTGGCCTTCAGAAACTTCCACAGTTCTGTTTGTCCTCCTGGCCCTCTGCTGTCACCATTAAAGATTCCCAGAGAGCAGTAGCTGCCCGGTCAGCCTAGGCTTCAGGGTGAACACACAGAACACAGCTGCCCCAGCTGCCCCACAGATCCATGAAATAAACAATTGCTGTTTTAAACTACTGAGAATCAGCCAACAAAACGTACCAGCTGTTTCTTACAGAAGATTCCCAGGAATTGCCCCCAACACTTTGGCTTGTACTTTATTGGCCAAAATTCAGTCACATGGCCAATTCTAGCTGAAAGGGAGGCTGGGAAATGTGGCTAGCTAAAACTTAGAAGGAAAAAATAATATAAAAAATAAATATAAAAAAATAAAAACATTTTTTAAAAAGTTAAAGAATAACAACAAAAAAAAGAAAGAAAAAAACCCAAATTAAAAATAATAATAATAATAATAAATGCAGTCATAGAGTTCGATTAACTTCTCTTCTCGTAGGTGGAGCTGTGCCCACTGGGCCAAGCTTCTCCTCTCAATATGTGGGAACCAATCACTGTGCAGCAGCTCTTCCTCCCAGACTGGGTGGGTCTCCAATCCTGAGTGTCTGGGGCCTTCTCTTGTGTTTCCTCAAGCCAGGCCCTGCTCACCTGTGACACTCACCATAATACTGGCTACACGCCAGGTCTGCTGCTCCTGGGAGCCCTGTTTTCATGAACGCCTGGGCACACTCTCCCTGTTTGCCTCCCTCAGACCCTAAGTTTGTAGAGTTTAGGGCTGAGAACCCCTAGTGAATTTGCTTGCCCTTCGGTAGCCACGCCCCCATAGCTGGTGCAAGAGACCTCAGTTGTCAGCACTGGTGGGAGCAGTAGCCAGGAGTCCCGCGCCACTCCTGATTCCCTGGGTCTGGCTATTGCGCTCACAGGAGAGCTGGGAGGGGCCCTTAAGGTTTCCCCGCTGTGTGGAGAGGGATGGCTAGGGGATTACACACCTGTCACCGCTGGTTTCAATGAATTTATCTCCTCTGCCCCTGACGTCAGTTCTCTGCCATGGTGGTATCCCATGCAAATGGTGACCGTTCGTTCCCTTTGCCAGGTGACCAATCCAACGGGTGGGACCTGACTGTCTCTCCCAAGCCCCGTTTCAATCCTGTGGCCACTGCCTATGAAGGCTCGGTTGGCTTTTACCTCTGTAAGTTCAGAAGGGCCTACCAGTTATTTCAGCGGGATCCTTAGTGCTGAGTCACGAGAAGCAGGCGAACCGGAGCTTGAATGCAGCTGATCCGGGCTCGGTGTGTGTTCTGAGAGGCCCAAACTGTTCGCCCCAGATCCACGTCAGCTCAGCATTGCCTAGTGATCCTGAGCAAACAGCATTTAGACAGTTTACAACTCCCTATGCCCTCGCAGCTGAAGAGGTCAGAGACTTGATCTCTCCGCGCCTGCCGCCATGTTGGATCTCCGGGAATACTTAACTCATTTTATAAGGCCAGGATTACCCTGAAAACAAAGTCAGCAAGTGTGGGACCACGTCCCGGGGCGAGGCGCAAAGGGAAAGCGGCTCCGCCGAAGCCCGTGGCTACTGGATGCAGGTCCGGGTCCCATTGGTCGGCAGCCCCGAGGCGCCTCTGCCTTGGTTTTGTTTTGATAGTTAAGTTTCAGTGCATTCCTCCTGGTACCTACTTCACTGAGAAGCTTCTTCCTGTTTTTAAATCTGGTGTTGAGGAACTCTTGGGATAGCCATCCTTTCACTAGTCTACCATCTTCCCCTCTTCCCAAATACTTTCTCTTTATTGAATACATGGATGTGGGACCCACAGATATAGAGGCAATACTGTATTTTCAAATAACTTGTCATCAAGTTTATATATATTTTTGTTTGATCAAATCTGCTCTTGATGCTTGAGGTTGGCATTTTTCATTACATTGATTGTATTTCTCAGCTCCAAGATTTCTGAGTTTTTGCTCTTGTATTCAGTCTGTCAAATTTCTGTCTGATCACTTATTGTCTATATTTTCTTAAAGCTGTGAGCTTCCATAAAGCAGTTATTTTACATTTTTAGACAGTCCATATATCTCTGTCTCTTTCATTCAATGACATTTCATTCCTCTGTGGATGTTTCCCTGATTGTTTTTGATCTGTGTGGCCACGTGTCAATGTCTGCAAATTTGAAGAAGCAAGGTACTCTTTGTACTTTTTGCAGACTAGTTTTGTCTGGGAGAGCACTTTAACTGTTAGCCCATCCAGAGAATATGAGCAGAGCATCTGGTGAGGGCCCTGTATATGAAATCACTGTGTCTGTTGCCGAGCTAGGGAGTGTCCTATGTCCAGGACTGCCAGTAGCACCTGGCCTCCTGTGCTACTGGGGCAAATGCAGTTCCTAAGCACATGTGGAGATTATTGCTGTTGGAGACTCCCTGTCATTGAATTTTGTCTAGAACCCAAGTTCATAGTAGTTTGCTAAAAGTGATGCACACTTATGGACTGAATCTACCCTTGAGGAACCTACAGTTTCTTCCTGGTTCCAGGGCACTTCTAAAGGCTATTTGTATCAACCTAGAGTTTTAATAGGTGTCTTCCCAGTGCTGGGTTTTACTGTGGTACAAATGGGGTTGGGGTGTAAGACAAAGTCCCATGTTTGCTTTTCTCTTTCTAATAAGTGAATAGTATTTCTCTTCATCTGATGTTGTCTTTGGAAGAGGTAAAATGCATAATATAAAACTGTTCTTCCAACTCTGTCTAGTGCATCTATTATGCTATAACCAGGTACTGTGTGATCTCTCATCTGGTTTCTGGATTTCTCAGCACTTGTGTGGAGGTCCCCCCCCCCAGGTATGGACAGTTATATCTTTGCTTCTGAAGGGGGACAATTACTTTCATCAATCTGCTTCACCCTCTTCCTCATATATATTAAAAAATTCATTTACAGAATCATTTTTTCTACTGAATATTTTAATATAATCTTACTGTTATATAGACTTCCTTTTTTTACACATTTTAGATTTATGAGAAAATAGAAATTATAAGTTTTACATAGTTCACCCCTCCATATTCAAGAATTAAATTTATATTTCTGAGATCAATATACCCTAGTGCAAAGAGAATTGATTTTTAATTATCAAGGAAAGATGTTTAGAGTTTAATTTTATGTCAATATCTTGGAGAGATACCTATTTTAATTTCAATTTAAAGGAAAAGCTCTAATTTAGTATGTTTCATAGATTCAAAAGATTCCTCCAAAGGTGTAATGTCTTAGTTTGAGGTTTTCAAGATAAATTTTCAATATTTACATAAAGCATAAAGAGACCTCGATAGTCTTAATTTTGGTATCCTAACAGGTCAGTTACTGATCATTTATTCTATAGCCCTCTGTGTTAAACACAAGATAGAAAGGAAATACAGGTAAATCCTATTTTGGAAATTTGTAAGACTAGTGCTTTCTGTAACAGATAAATCCCTCCCTCCTGAAGAAAGCAGCAAAACCTACTAATATGTCTTCACATAAAAATAAACTTTGCACTCAAGTCCTGCTATTGTGAAAGATAAAAGTGTGTGTGTGTGTGTATGTGTGTGTATATTTGCTCTTGCACTTGGCATAAAGAAAGATGCAGAAGCAAATGGTTAAATTAAGAAAGAATATTTCATAAAAAAGTGTGGATTCACCTAGCATAATTCAAGTGGAAATAAGGGCAAACATTTTGTAGCACAACATGTTACACAAAGCACAGGAATTTACGGAAGAATATCTTTTAATGCTCGAAACCAGTATTTCTGAGGCAACTATGAAAGCAAGAACTATTACAACAAATAACATTTAATGCTTATATTCTCTCTGTAACATTCCATACATTAATTAGTTTATATCATATACATCTCTTAATACTAGAACAGCATTCTGAGGTTGCCAGGCATATGTTGCAGCTAAATGGAAAGACAAAATCTATTCACTTCCAGAAGAGCTATACAACATGAAAACATAACGAAGTACTTAAAATACAAAGAGCTACAGTGTGTGAAAAATTATGACCATCTGCAGGATCAGTGACAAACAATATAAGCCCATTGTTATAAAGTACAAAAGTGGCTTTGATGTCTGCTGTACAAAGGATTACATAGAGAAAGGAATTTAAGCTGTAATAAATGGCTCATAAGCCAATCACTCATTTTCCATTTTTAAATGTCTTTCAAAACATTTGATGCTCATGAAATGCAATGTACTGACATTCCTGAGGTCTGTCTGTTGCCAGTTATCAGGGACACTCCTCTGAGTGTGAATGGGTTTTTCACCGTTCATGAGAAAGATGGGAGTTGGGAGCCCAGGATTTGTTTATAATGTCCACTTCGTCTCCTTTACCACCAGAACCAAGTAAAAACAATCATTTCATGCTAGAGCCAGGTCTGAAGAAACTGAAAACAACTCTGTTGTATAAATGATGAATTTTAAAAGATGCCTTTTTCTGTTCAAAGTATAGATTTTAATGACATCCTAATCTTTTTGAAATGTGATGCAGCTTAGTGCAAAAAAATATATAGAGAGAAAGTGCCACCATTTCTTCAACTAAAGGATAATGTGTGTTTTGTAAAAATAAAGCATTAAATATCCATTTTGTAGACTGGTATCACCAAAGGTCTTGATGTAGCTGGTATTTAAGTGCAGACTCATTTACCACCTGAAAAGTAGAGAACGTAATACTTTTTATTAGAAAGCAGCAGAATAATAACAGTACTGCATTCCTATATATCCAAGATCTGATGCTTTCTGTTAGGCAGTCTAATATCTCAAGCAGAACAGTGGGGTTCTCTGTTGTAGCTCACCATTCAGCCAATGCATGTCCCCATCCACGGATTCAAGCAGTTGCTTCCCAACTTTCAAGATGAGCACATAACAAGCCAAGGGACTGGTAGCTAACTAAACTGCTCTGGACAAACATCTCTACCCTCTTGAGACCATTGTTTTCTTGCAGAGTTGGATGTATTACTACTCTCAAAAGGACCACTGACATAGTCTCCTTGTGATCCAATAGTAAAACTAAAGTGTGTTTTTCTTATCATAAACTTTCTTCTCTTCTATACATCTGTCTCCTTCCTTTTAATAAATTTCCCCACTGAGCTTAAGGAATACTATATCTCCTATAATTCCTTCAATTCTAGTAAATCAAGTAATGAAGAAAAAAATTTTGTAGGGGGAAAAGCCTTATAAAGGCAATATTTTTTTCTTATAATCATTAAATGTATGAGCAAAACAAATATCTGTTGACCAGCACTGACCATTTTCAGTTCTGTAACTTGGCTCTATGTAGACCCAAGGAAGCTGATATTCAGAAATCTTTCTGTGCTGAAATCCATCACATAAGTTTAACACAGAAGTATTTTTAAAATCATTTCTTTATAAAAGCATGTTTTACCACTTGAATAAATTTGTTTTTAGATTTTCAGTGAATGAATATTTTTATTACATAAATGGTCCCATGAATAGCCTTCCAACTTGTTATTTCATTAGTGGCAAATATTAATATGCCACGCTAACATTTTGAATACATTCTGTTCAAATAGATTTTAGGCAGGGTTTTTCAAGTCTTGTGTGTGTGCGTAAACAATTGCAGAAATGATCCAGAGCAAAAATATTGAGTTGCCTCCCAAGACACAGCTCTCATTATCTTAATAAAGTATAAAATGACAGTGGAATGAATCTAATGTTCCAGTGTACATATATGAAAACATTGGTAAATCCCGTAATCATGAACATCTACAAGAATGGTGTCCTAACTAGAATAAGATATATTCTTTGCATGTATGATTATATCAAAATGGATTCTATTGTTGTGTATGTCTACAAATTCTACTTTAAAAATCATTATTTAGACTGAATTATACTTTAGTAATAGTCACAAAATATTAAATTTTGATTTTCTGTATTGTCTCTAGAAGATAGAACTAAAGTTGATTATTTCAGATAATTGGAAATTCATTAAATTGTATTAAGGAATAGATGTGATAACACATAAAATGTAAAGCTCAAATAGTTACAAGTAAAAAATTCAGGATTTCATTCTTGTATTGCTAAGTAATATTCCATTGTGTTTATATGCCACCTTTTTTTTTTAATCCATTCATCTAATGAAGGGTATCTAGGTTGGTTCCACAGTTTAGCTATTGTGAATTGTGGTGCTATAAACATTGATGTGGCTGTGTTCCTATAGTATGCTTTTTTTTTAAGACCTTTGGGTATAGACTGAGGAGAGGGATAGCTGGGTCAAATGGTGGTTCTATTCACAGTTTTCCAATCTCCATACTGCTTTCCATATTGGCTGAACCAATTTGCAGTCCTACCAGCAACCTATGAATGTACCCTTTTCCCCACATCCTCGCCAACACTTATTGTTGTCTGTCTTCATAATAGCTGCCATTCTGACTGAAGGGAGATAATATCAGAGTAGTTTTGATTTGCATTTCTCTAATTGCTAGAGATAATGAACATTTTTGGCACTGGAGAAGATAATGCTAAGTGAATTTAGCCAATCCCAAAAAGTCAAATGTTTTCTCTGATATAAGGAGGCTGATTCATAGTGAGGTAGGGAGGGGAGCATGGGAGGAATACACAAAATCTAGATAGGACAGAAGGGTTAGCAAGGATGGTGGAATGTGAGGGACATCATTATCCAAAGTACATACATAAAGACATTAATTGGTGTGAACATGCTTTATACACAACCAGAGGTATGAAAAATTGTGCTATAAATGTGTAATAAGAATTGTAATGCATTCCACTGTCATTTATTTTTTAAAAAATCAATTAAAAAAAAAGAAAATTCATTCAAAGCCTAAGACACACAACCAACCAAAATGGAGTTGCTATTGCTAAAGGGAAGAAGAGTTCACAGCCAGCCCCTAGTGCCTGAAGAGACTCTGAGGATTCTTAAACTTCCTTGGAACCTTGTTAGCAAACTGGGGATCTAATGCAAGACCCTTATTTTACCAAAGAGATCTGAGGCCATGAAAGAATGCAACCAAACTAGTCACTGTATTAGTTTGTGGCTGGATGTGGATCTGAAACCAGTCCAGTTTTTTTGAGAGTCGGGAAAGTTGGCTTAATGTTCAGGTAGTATCTGGCCTGCAGTTGTTCTCATGACCATCCAAAGCTCCTTCTTCTATGTTTGTTGGTTAGACAAAATAAAACTAAACTAGGGAAACTGTGTATCCTTTCTGCCAAATTGTCATCTCCCTCCCAAATTTATATTAAAATAGACTTGTGGCAGAGATTGCTAGTCATCACTCGGAAAAAGAAAGAAAAAGAAAATTGAGAATTTCTATATAAGATAGTTTATGTTCATTTGTTTGATTAGAAAGATTCTTCTTAAAAACATTTTGATGTTGTGACTTTCATAGAAAACTTATCCTATTTATACTGCATGCACTTTTGACATGGAAATACCTCCCAAAAAGGCTATTTAAAGAAAGGCTTTTACTTAGGGACAGTAGGGCAAGATTAATTTCTGTTACTTTATAGGGAACGTGGTCACTAATATCTACATCAGTGACCTGAACCCCTTTTGCAATTTGTCCATAACTCTCTTCCAGCCTGTGAATAACTTGGTTGACTAATTCTTAATACTGTTACACGCAAATTTTTATATCATGATTTTTAATTGTTCATCAGTATTTCATATGAAATAGAGAGTACACACCCAGGATTTGGACATATAGACATCCTGTTCTCCTTAATATGTTTTGTTTTATAATTCATTTTGCTTCTATGATGAAAAAACAGCATATCTTTTTTCCTTTACAGTTTTTAAGTAGGCCAAAACTTAAGAGATTTAACATTGCATAAGTTTCTTAGTATGTAGTAAAATTATTTATTTGTAGTTTTTTTCATAATTAAATATAAGAAATGAAGATTTGGGGCAAAACCTATCCATACTAACTTTATAATGACCACAATTGTATTTTTCCATTCCTTCCAGAATTAAGGCTGTAACTTAGTGATCTGCTTGACTGTTTTTGCCTTATTTACTCAGTCTGGATTTGTGTCTTAATACAACCTCCAATTTTTGAAGCGCTAAATATCTCTGTAAAATCTGTCACCCAATATGCCACCCCTCTTCGACAACATGTAAAGAATAACTATATAAACTAATGCTACTTAAGGAATATATATTGAATGTACTTACTCCTCTTTGATCTGCATGCACAATATGAAATCATAAATGCAACAAACATCACCACCCCAACACCGAGTAAGATATTTTCTACCAGGCCAAGGAGTTTTATTTTTCCAGTCACTTTACTTTTGAACATTTCTGCCTTCTCATCGCCAATAGTACCAGTCTGCAATCAAATGAATATTTAGCATTATTGGGGAATTTTAGTGAAACAAAATGTTTAAACCCTCCAATTATGTACCATCCTTTTTTTCAAATCCTTGTAGAGGTATTAATGATCTGCATCTATAGGACAAGTCAGTGGGATTTCCTTCGGCATGTCAACATAGAGTAATAATACCCTTCCCTTTAAGTGTGCTGGATAGTATTCTTCAATGTATTAGAATTGATCTTCAGAAGTATGTGAAATACTTAATGATTTTCCAAGTGTTTCCCACAGGCAGAGGAAAACTACAAAGGTCAACATTTCTTGTTGACCTTTTGTTTTGAAGGCTTCTGCAAGGCATTTTTTAATTCTGAAAATAATCAATTCAGTGGTTTACACCATATTTGGCTAGTCAGGAAGTAGGACAGAGTGCCTTCACCTACTCTAAAAACAAAATAATAAAAGCCAACTATGCTTTTATTTTCACTAGCATGTTCAGTGAATCTTCTGTAGGACTCTTCCTAAAGAAGAGATGAAGCATGAAGAAAAATATGTAATAAGCACTTTAAATTTAGATTCAAAATACACTTAATTTTCATTTTTGTTCAGAATACTTAACAAGTTTCTATGCAATTTGGTTCTCTCAAACATACATCATCAGTTAAGTGCAAATTCATCCATATGGGCAATAGGAATACAACTTCAAACACTATGTAGACATAATTTTGAAACATCAAAAGCTTTTTTTACATTATAAATTAACTGCTAATGACTAATAAATGAACATACTAACCTCATTAAGCCAAAGTATAGGCACAATATAATTTTTCTTCAGGTTCTTTAATGCTCTGTAATAAACATTGGAAATAATTATTAAAATATGTCAATCTATTTGATAATAACTACTAGCATAAATTTTCAGAAATAACCAGTATGCCATGGAAGCTTAAGTTTCTTGATTTTGGTCTCTACAATGAATCATTTAAATTTTAACACAGTTGTTCCTCAGACTTTTCATTAATAATTAAAAATTTCCCAAGCACTCATTTTTCTTTTAAACGACATTTTGCTTCCCTGAGTAGAACTTGTTGAAAAGTTATTGTCATAGGAATAATTGTGAAATGAAAGGACCCAAAAATCCAATCAGAAGTATTCCAAAATATGTAAATACCATCTCAATAAACTCTAGGTATTAGTCTGAATTATAAGATTATATATTAACTATTTAAATACTTAGGATATATTATGACATTAAGCTAAAGAGAAGTCAATATTTGATATTCTTTCTACTTTTATAAATTTACTTATATTCTTTCAAGACAATGGTCCAAAGTATAATTAATCTTATCAAAGACTCACTCAATTTTTTTTGCTGGCTTGACCAATATGTTGACTTGTAGCCGTTTTGCAAATTGTAAAGTGAATCCAGTTATCTAAAAAGAGAACAAATAATTACCAAATTGTTTTAAAGACATTCTTATAATATCCAAAATCCACTTTTGGTATGATAGCAGAAAAGTTTTTAAAAGAAAAAAATTTTTGAAGCTTATAAAAAAAATTAATTGGACCTAATTATTATTCCATATATAAATACACATAGAATGTGTTTATGTAGTTATGGGTCTACATAACTTTCATATACACATTTTTGTTGTCTAACCTAATATCAAGGTTTTAGTTTTATGTTATTTACCTAAAATGGTTTTGAAAAAAATAATAGCAGCGTTAACAAAGTGCAAAAGACCTTATATAATTTTTAATTCCTGAACTATGTGTGGTCAAATATATTTGGTCAGAATCCATGTATCTGTTTGGGGAGGGTGCTGAAGAGCAAACCCAAGCCCTCTCACATGCTAGGCAATTGCTCTGACATAGCTATATTCCCAGCCCTCCTTTAACATTTGGAAGAAAAAAAAGACTAAAATAATTCAAATATTAAAACTGTGTGCTACATGAATTGTTGGATTTTTATTGACAGGAAATACACTCATAACACATTGATCCCTCATGGAATACACTGACTCCTTATAGAAGGCCTGTAGAAAGACACAGTATTAGAATAAAATAGTTAAATGTATCTGTATATTTAATTTTTATCAGGCAATTAGTCTTATTTTCATTATTAGATTCCTGACCTATGAAACATTCAAAAGACTTAGGAAGTTCCATATGCTGAAACTCAAATTGAATTTTCTTGACATTTATGTATGTGCAATAGGAAGAAGTTAATGTAACTTTCACTGAAATTAGGTTTCAGTAATTAAGAATGATTCAAAAAGTATGCTCAATGTGTGACTAATGAGATAATTTTCATTTTTTAAGAATAATATATATACTTACAGGTTCAACATCCAAGAATGTACTATGTTCTTCTTCATTTGGATTTAAGCCTTCTATAGGTTCTGAAACATCATGACTTGCGTGTAGAAAATGAGGAAGCGAGATGTATACAGGTTTACCTGAAAACAAGTTTTTAGAATCAATTGGAAATTTCTTATCACTCAGAAAATATTTCCTTAAAAATATTTATTATATTAAAAACTACATAATTGGTTTTGAACTTGGATTACAGCTAAGGGTAAAGGAAAAGTATATCAGGTTACTATTCTACAAAAATAAAACCATCCTACTATTCAGTTCTTCTTTGGATGTCAATTTTCAATATGAAAAGTTCAGCAGTTAATCACAAAGTTTCAACTTATAATTTTTTCATCTTTTGAGCAGTAATAGGTCAATGGACCTAGGATTTAGGAATAATTTTTCTTTCTTCCTTTGTAGTCGCGATAGTATGAAGAATATGATCCAGAAGTTTTGTCAATTCTTGCTTTAGAGACATACTGAAAACACATTTACCTTTCTTTACCATTTTCTAGGAGAAAAAGCGCTAGAACAATGGCACATGGTAACTTAAAAGCAGCACAGGTTATGAACACCCCCCCCCAATAACTAAGTTTTACAACACTGAAATAAAATTGAGGCCTCAAAAAAATCACATGAAACTAAGACCAACATTTCCTGTCACCAACACTTACATTCTGCCATCATCACTGTCTTTAATGTTAAATTGGGGATAGAAAGGGAGTTTAGGCAAAATTTCTACTTAAGGAATATTGGCAGTTACATCATGAAGCCTGACACTGAGCACGTTTACATACCTTCTTTGCATTTGCCAATGTCTAGAACACCATAGGATGTACAATTTTTTGAGATAATTTTTTCTGTGCAGAAACAATGGTTGTCTGGATTATCAACTGGAGATGCAAAGGCCTTTGCTGGAAGAACAAATCTATACACAGGGATTCCTTTCAGGTCAATTTCAGATCCAAATACAGCATAGATGGACCTAAACAGTGATAAAAATAGCTTTATTCAAGAACCAGAGGCACATTCTAAAGATCTATTATTTCTTTATTTTAGTTTATATTCATGCTTTAATTTAGAAATATCAGATACTTGCTAGAATTTAAAATTATTAGAAGAAAGTTTTCTTGAAGTTTTAAGACATATAAGAATTCACTACCTGAGTGTGAAATATTCTTTTGTTCTCAAAAGCTTTAGACATTTAGGGCAAGTTTTGCTTATGAACTATCATAGAATATTTATATCAAATATATTTATCATAGTAAATTTCTCCAAGAAAGTAAATATTTATAACTTACTTCAGAATTCATTATTTGTACCCAGTGTAAATTAAGTGAAATTTCTATCTTTCAAAACTAAATCTTGAGAAAAGCCATTCATTTAGTGAGTCATGTGCATGCACACATAGACCTCTAGCATTTGACAAGCATCCACCAGCACCCTAGGAAATGTAGAAGATCTCCATAAATATTCCTTCTAATCCTCAATAACCCTGTGTGAAGAAACACTGCTCTCATTGTTCTGAGAGAGAGGGCTGTTTTAGAGATATTAAATATCTGCCCACAGTCTCAGTCCTTAGGGATAGGACTGAGATTCAAAGGTAGTGACATGCATGGGCTCCAGTGGTTGTGGGGTATGAATTGAGCCCCCACCAATTTGAAAAGATGCTGTAGTGGCAGAGGATAGCCATTAACAAATAAATTTATGATAGCTGCATCATCTTTAGAAATACTGGACATATCCTTTTAGACATGTTATTAAAAATAAATGCGTATTAGGTCTTAGAAATGGCAAAGAAAATTATTATAAGTGGAAGTGTATAGAAGGATATTTGCATAGTTAAACATCATGAATGCATATGCTGCATTTATTAAATCAAGAAAAAATTCCTTAACTACATTTTTCCAAATGACAATTATTAGGTAAGGGTTTCCTGACCTTAATTTTTATCATTTGTGAAACTATGTCTGACTTTCAGACATACATTGATGTCTTTCTCTTACCTGCAAATATCAGAGGAAAAGAACTGCAATAATCGAGTCTTCTCAACAAAAGGTGGAAACGAAGCTGCATCTATTTAAAAATAAATCCAGTGGCAAGTGATTAGATTAACATGCATTCTAGAAAAATCTAGAAACTTCTATTCTAGCATAGTCAATGGAAATGATATAAATCACCTATATAAAAATTATCTAATACCACAGTAACTTTAAAAAAAGTAACATGTACTTTTGTTTTGAATCAGTATGTCAAAAAATATTTTCATTTAAGTTCCAGTGTGCATTTTTACTAACATTTCAATAATACTAGCTATAGTTTGAGTGCTTGAAAACAGCATGTGGCTAAAAGCTATCCTTTTTCAACAAATTTGCATATCATGTGCATTCATAGGTGTAAAATCAGATGTAAAAGTTGTGATTTTTATGTGGTTTTTGAAATGCCCTTCATCATCACCTGAGTGGTTTTTTTTTTTTTTTTGGATAAAGTTTATTTAGAACTCTAGCTATATTGTCATTGTTCTTGTTTTTACTTGTGATTCATTCATTTGTACTAATGGCTGATTAATATTTTTAAGACCATGAAGTTCTCTAACTAGTGTTTCTTGCAAATGCTTTCAAAACATATCCAAATTTAAAGAGGCATTTTTTGAGTTTATTGAATTCCATAACTGTGATTATAATCCATAGCACTCACTGACTAAATGAAGAAATAACTAGGTAACTCCTCCAGTTACTTCCAAAATATTACCAAATTGAGCACCAGTGAATGCATGCATTCTAAAATGTTTAAACTCATCCTTCAATTATGCATTCCAAGTTCTTTTTCTGGCAAAATTTTAAACCCTATGACCTTGTTATCCTTCACTGATGCTCTTGTTATATGTGACTTTTTTTTTTTTATTAGCTACACACGACATTACAATGATAGTGGCAATTCATACATTTGAATCAATTGGGGTATAACTTCTCATTTTTCTGATTGTACAGATTTCAGAATCACACTAGTCATAGAGTCACCTATATACATACAGCAATCATAATGTCTATTCTATTCTAACAAAATTACAATGATACTATGGTCACTGCTTGATCCTGGCATTCAGAGGACAGGATATTAGAGTTTACAATCCCCATATTGGTCCTTAGAGGGCATAGCCTACAGCTGTCTTTCAGGTCATCCAAAATTGAAAGAAAATACATGGAAAAACTTTAAAAATCAGTATCTGAAATATCATTGAAAATATGCCATAACTATACTCAATAATCACCTTGTACGATGATGATCATAAGGTGGCTTAGCATTCTTCCCCAAAAGAAATGTTCTAAATGTGGATCTTATTTTCATTTTGTATTTTCAAATTTACTGAAGGTAGGAGATGCACTACTTAAGCATGATGAAAACACATGGGCATCCTTATTTCATTCAGTATGTCCCCTGCCTCTGCCAAACTACCTCTGCTCTTGGTTTATTTTCTGCTTCCATATCTTTACCTTCATGCCCAATGTTCACAATTGTCATTGTCACTAACAAGTCATCTGACCTCTGCCTCCTTTTGTTACACTTATCTTCTGCTTGCTTTGGACAGAATTGTTTAATGATTTTTTTTCCCATTAAACCCATACAGGATTCTTTCTTCTTTAGGAGCAGTTTAGTTCATTTCTCTCAGTCCTAAATGACTAAGTATTCTGTTGGTAACTCTTAGAGTTAATAGTGTAAAGGCACTCGTCTGTTTATTTGTAGAAATACTCTTAGAATTGTTTCCAAGACCTAAAATACTACAAAGAGAATACAATAGTGCTTTTGCTGATCTTTTCCCTTATAAGATTTTAATAAACAGGCAAAATTCAGTCATACCTTTGGAAAAGTAAACAGCTCTGGTGCTTCCTTTTTACATAATTTCCTTTGTCTTTATCATTTTCCTATAGTGCATTCCCTTGCCTGCTTTGTAAACATTTTGCATGTATTTCTAAGCAGATAAACTCACCTGATTTTAATCACCTCATAGTATTTCATTCCCATTGTTTAAAAATTTTCTTTTCTATTATACATAACAGTAGAATCTGTTTTGATAAAATTGTACATGCATATTTATCTTATTCTAAATTAGAACCTCATTCTTGTGGATGTACATGATGGTGGGATTTGCTTAGGTTATTTCACATATGTACATGGGGAAATTATGTCATATTAATTCCAATGACATTCCTATTCCTATCCTCCTTTCCTTCCCTTCATTCCTCTTTATCTAATGTACTGAACTTCTGTTCTTTCCCTATCCTCTTATTGTGTTTTAGCTTCCGCATACTAATGAACACATGCGACCTTTGATTTGGGGGGGGGTTGGCTTATTTCACTTAACATAATCTTCCATGCATTTACTGGTAAATGTCATGAAGTCATTCTTTATGGCCAAGCACCATTCCATTGTGCATTTAAACCACATTTCTTAATTCAATCATCTGTTGAAGGGCACTTAGACTGAGTCAAATGTGTACTTTTCTTTTCTTCAGGAAAATAATTATCCAAATCTAACAAAACCTCAAGGTTCTTAATTTTTTCTCCCATTCTAATTCTGAACTTATTTTTAACATATTTAAGGTTAATAACTAATCTTGTTATTTTTTTCTTTGCTCTCTTATTCTGACATCCAAAATAGATGGTTCAGTTCTGCAGCTTCTCTCATTCAGCTCTGAATCTCAGAGAAGAGTGTTTTCCCATGTGTAATTATGTTAATTTCTTTTCAATTCTGTTATCTTTATGGTATTTGGAAAAGGTCTCAAAGGTAACTATGTCTATAAGCCTGTTTTTTTTTTTCCTTTTAAGCAACTTATTTCCATTGCCAGGATAAGAGTTCAGTAAGTACAGGTTTTACAAAGCAAACATTTCCTAGTAATGCAGTAAGAACTAATCATCTGCAGTTAATATTCAGAAATACCATAATGTTAAACACACATTTACTAAACCCACATAAAAATAGAGACTTAATTAGTTTGTGGGGACTAGAAGACAAGTAAACACACCCTTAACCTTCAGAATAGTATAGGTTTGGGGCTGTATTTTGCGAGCAGGTGAGTTGGGTTCATGGTGATTATTATCATAAGTGTTCTTACCTGTACCATTAATCATGTCGCAATAACTTGGCCAGTAGGAGAGATTCCTTAAGAATAAGAGAGAAATTGAACAAATATTTAAAGAACACCTTACTTGCATTACTTTTTCTACTAGGATTCAATACCTCTGCTAACATAATGAAAATTAAGATGTGACAAATGAAAAGTTTAAGAAATGTTCTAATTCATTTGATTCACATTTTGTTCAAATCTTTCAAGCTTATTGCAATAAAATACCATCAGTAGCCAGGTTATAAATAAAAATTGAGATGCCGAGTTAATCAGAAACTATTTGGAATAGATATAGTTCTAAAAGAAAACATTGAAAAACATTTAGCAGAAATATAGATCTCTACTTAGGGAATTTTCCTTCCAGTAAAATAAATAAATATTTGGTTGCGTATTGGGTATTCATACTGAAGAGGAGGAAAACATTAAAGGGGTACTAATGAAAGCTCGTTATGAGGCAGAAGAGGGAAAAGAAAAGAAGCAGATGTTTGGATACATAGAATTCAAAACATGTAAATATTCAGTTTTTATGTTTTCCTCATTATAACACTTGCATAGATTGGCATTAAAGTAGGATAGTGTTTACTAGTTTATGTATTAAAGTCTATGTAAGAGCTAGAGAAAGCTCTGGATGTGATAGAAAAATAGGAATAATAATTTCCCTCCATCTGTAGGCATACTTTTGGTGATGGAAAAAATCAGTTTTTTCCCACTCATTATCTACTGAGATGTCAACACAAGCCGTTTTTTTTTTTATTTTAAACATAATATGCTGTTAATAATGTTTGGTCTTGTCATGAGGAGTTAGGTCAACCCTATAGTCTTAAATTAATGGGTAATTCTTAATCTAATTAGTAGTACTAATTAACTGTCAATAGTGAAATGCTCATTGTTCAAAATGTAAACATCAGTTGGTGATTTCCCCTAGAATAAATACTTAGAAGTGTTTATTTTCTTCCACTGGACTTTGGTATGAAAGGATGTAAATATGAACTCTTTAGAAGAAAGAGGTACTACACTAGTAAATATTTAACTATTGCGTGCAGTATTAGATAACAATCCAGTTTGAGGCAATAATTAATAAAAACATAATATCTTTCAGTTTTGCTTATTTTTTCAGGAAATAATTGGTCTAAAGTACAGTTATAAACTTTAAGAAAATTCTTGCTCACCTGATATTTTTAGGGTTCTATTTCACACATATGAAAACATATGACTCCTTTGAATGAGGTTGCAGGAGACCGGAGAAGGGAAATAATGCACTTAAGAAGCTGTGCATTATTATAAGAAGTTGTTCTCTTACTACTTCAAAGATATTTCTGCATTTAATATGCAAATTCTAGCACTGTACGTAAATTCATTCTTGCATTCAGATAGGTAAAATGAGGTAAGCCATTCTTATAGAAATCATTTCAAGATTGTTAGCAGGAGAAAAAAGCTTTTGCATACATTCATCAAGTTTCTGTCTATATAGACACATTTAGGATATGTCACTAAAATGCACAATTTTTATTTGACACACTTAGAATATATTTTAATGTTTTTATAACTATTTCACTAGACTACCAATTAATGTATTGATTTTTCTTTTCAGAAAAATCTTTATCTCATTGTACGGTTACACAAAAATGCTGGTTATGCAGCAGAGATAATAGTCCCTGTGCATTTCTTTTATATAAGAGAACCTGTGCATAAAGGCAAACCAAACTAAGCAGTGCACATGTTCAACAGCACAAGCTTTGCTTTGCTGTGAACCTGCCAGTTCTCATATTTGATGGGCTAATGCCTGGCAGAACGGTAATTTCTAGGGCTGATATACAGCTGCCACTGGGGTCACAAGTTGAGTCCTCTGCCTTAAATACCACTCCTGCCTTAGAGTACTACCCTAGTAACTACACACACACACACACACAATTTACCCAGAAACTTACCTTTTACCTTTATAAGTGTCTATTATGGCAACATTGTTTATGTTATCTCTTCCACTGAAGACTTTATAAACTCCATCAGCAGTATCATTGTACTGAAAAAAAAATGTCCAAGAAAAAATTACTTGCAGAACAAGTCATATTTCCAAGTTATATGTAAGTGACTTACTTGCACATTTCTTAAATACTGGTAATTTACAATATTATTGCTTATATCATGCAATAAAGTTTTTAAATTATAAGAATTATTATTTTAAAGGGTAGAATACAAAAACTACCTAGAAATAAGTTCAAAATGCTGAGACAAACTCAAGCCCTCTGTGTCATAATTTAGCCAATAAGACCATTTTTATCACCATTCCTATTATGTTGAAGTGAGGGCTCATTAAATAAAAATTCCAAGAACAAACATAGATTTTCTAGAGTTTTTAAAAAAATTTTTGATTTTTAGAAAAAGGGTATATTAATTATACAAAATATTGTGTTTCATTGTGGCATATTTGTACAAACATAGTGTAATTTGATTAATTTCAAGCCCCTATAATCCCCCCCTCCTCCCTCTTAATGGTCTACCTTTTATCTTCATGAAATCTCTTTAATAAATGGTGACTAAAATGATAATGATCAGACTACAAATTTTAAAAAATAGCCAAGAGTTCTGAGTCTTTTGAATTTGAATAATAATTGAATGCCTGATTCCTTAAGGCTTTCTACATTGATATTTATTTGACATATAACTTTGAAATCCTAAMCACTGTGCAAAAGTAAAACAACACTAAAGAACTGAAAAATGTAATGTTCACATAGTGCTAAATAAAGACAAAAATGTCAATTCAAGACAGTTTATTCTTTCAGCAATTTAAACCATCATCCTATAACTAAACAAACCATTGAGTCCAAATGTTTTTCTTAATTTCCAGACTGCCACTTCATGATATTTGTGAATCACTAAAATAAGGCATACTGACCTAGCCTGAATTTGCACATTTCAATAAGACAAGTTTTTAATTAAGTTTTAAGAGTAACAGGATAAATCATTAAATGCAAGAATACAGCATGCAACTTGACTTTGTGAAAAGAGTTGCAATAAAAATTTAAATAAAATTGTATATTTATAAAAATAGAAACTCTTAAAGTTAATTTAATTAAGTAAATTTTCCAACTAGAAAACTGAAGCCATCTGAAAGGGATACTTTTTTGAAAAACTTAGGATTTATATTCCCAGGTCAGGAAGAGGGCTAATACACTAAACTATACTTTGCCAATGACATATATATATATACACACACACACACATACATACATATTTATATAATTAAAATATAACAACATGCCATTCATATTGAATACTTACAGGAAAGAACACACCAACTGTGGTAGTAATAGGGTATGGAACCAAACTCAAGAATGGATCCTTGTAGCCCCACAACAGTTCTCTCAAAGTTCTGGTTTGGAACATAGAAGATTTTGACTTTTTGATAAGTGAATTGAGCACCACTTGAACAAATGCATTTTGATAGATATGGGGTGCAGCCTAAAAAAATAACAAACACCATTTAAGGCACATAATTCTAACAAATAAATGAATTCGTTATTAGAAAAAAACTTCTTAAACTATGTCTAAAATTATGCTAAATCCTGCCTGGCCTAAAAGTGTAATTTCTCTAGCTCATTGCCATCCATAAGATAACATTCCAAGTTAAGCCCTTTTTTGATGTTTGATTTATGATATGCTTAAGCAGTCTTCTATTTCCACTTTTTATGATTTTTTCATCTTTACAAATGACCATAAGTCCATTCTAAATAACAGAAGACTATGTTTTCATAAAAATGACTAAAATCTAATGATAATTTCAAAGATGTGATTGTTTTAAAGACTCCAGGACCCAGCATAACCAGAGTTGTTGTCTGTCTACTCACTGCTACAGCTAGATTGAGAACTGTGAATGTGTCATTCTCGGTTCCAACTGACAGTGAAGGTTCAAAGATTGCAGCATTGGGCTGAACGAAAGAGACTGTGTTGTCCTCATAATCATGAGTTATATTCTCCTTGGCTAGAAAACGAACTCTGAAACAAGCAGACATAAGCAAGATTTAAAGAAACTATCTTATGTGATCATTAGATGTCAAATGCTACTCATTCAACAAACACTATTTGAATCCATAGAATGTCAGAAATTATGCTGAACAATGCTGTTTAAAAGATAAATTAACCAGAGTAGAGTCTCCAGCCAACTAATCAGAAGTATTTTGTTATTTCCTCATGAATAAATCAATGGCTCACATTATTTCAGGAGGGCTCAAAATAAGATACTAAGATATCTTTAATATATATGTACAGAGATTTTAATATATGTGTTCAGAGCTCTATTCTCCTTTGAGAATAGTTTTTATAGTTAAAAAATATAAAAATACCAAACAGTACCCAAGTCAAAATTACAAGTAATGTATTTTCTCCCAAATAATTGTTAAAACTTGAGTATAAATTATTTCTAAAGAACAAGCTACTGTTAAAACTTGAGTATAAATTATTACTTAAGAACAAGCTACTGTAATTTTAGGAGCATTTGTGGATATATAGTAATTGAAAAAATACCAAAATAATTGTGATCCCAATTGAAGGGTCTTGTCCAAATTGAAGTGTACTTATAAGATTATACCAGTAGATGGCAGTCATTAAGAGGAAAATCCTTGAAACTGAGCCCTGCCTTCAGAATGTACTTTCAATAAGAACATTACTCTATTATTTTACTTAAAAAAAAAAAAAAAAAAATCCTAAGTTTTGGAAAGTGTTAGTTAATAAGGTCAAGGGAAAGAATCTGTTATGGATTTTTCCCAAGACTTCTTCCTTCGTATTCCTGCCAAAGGTAACTTTAAAAATGATCTATGTTGAATCTCAAAATAGTCTGAAGGAATTACAGTATTCATTGAGATGGTGTTTGTTGAACTAGAATTAAGTCTTGATCCAGGCAATTTCATGCTTTGACCGATGTCATATTATGTCAATGTTTTATCAAGTTCACTTTAGAAGCCATTAGACAAGTAAGTCCTTGGTTCTGTTTAGGAGAAACATCTTCTGATAGTTCCGATTTCAACTACATTCAGGGTATAATTGATACAGAAGCACATTTAGCTCAACATAGAAGACTTGCAAAGTAGTAACTTTAAAAAAAAAAGAAGTCAATATTTTTCGGATTAAGTCATTCAGGCAAGCAAAAAAAAGACTCCATTTTGGTGGTATGAGAAAAGATAACCTGTAGTTGATCAGGAATCCTTTTAAAATTGTTATACAAGGAGGAGTTTATTGTTCATAAAATTTAACTTTAAACTCAACTCTTCCTCTCCATATCTCCCTTGTTGCTTCCCCTAGCAAAGCAAGTCTATCTAACACATCCCCTGGTTGTCCATTAAAGAGGTTAAAGGCTCTTTATGCCACCTTTTCAAAATATAGCCATTAAATTCCTAGATTAGTATTTTATGCAGGTAGCAATAATATACTTTGAAAGTAAGTCAACCTCAATACAATGGAATACATCAGGTGGGAACCTTCTCAGCAGCATTCATGCTAAAGGTAAGAGTGCCCCTCCTGTGCAGGGACTCACTCACCTGTATGTGTAAGGACCTCTTTGTTTAACCTTAATGTTGCTGCTGTTCACTACCACTTCCTGTGGATTTTGCACATCAAAGATCCAAAACTGTCTGTAAACTTCTGTGCCTGTTTTAACCCAGTTTTGATAAGCCGTTGTACCCTCTTCAAGGACAACTTCCTAAGAAAAGAAAACAAGTTTGAGTTATTTCACTGTAGTAAATAAATAGCACTTCTGGAAGTTCCTTTATAACATTTAGGCAGCAAGAATAAAAGGACCACTCCCAACCATCTTACTCCCCAGGACCTTTGCAACTTTATCACATGCTTGCAGCCAGATATTTTTGTATTTTTTTTCAGCTAGAATATTTTCAACATACTACAGTAACCTTATTTAGTTAACCTTTTAGGAAGAGAATCAGAGTGATACAGAAGCCATGGCTGTTGATTTTAAGGTAAGTTTTATAGCGACACTGTACAATATTGTAACACTAGGTACCACATTTTATTAAGCATGTTTCATTAAAGTTGTCCCAAAAAATTCTTAATTAGGTTGAATACTCTGCCCCTAAGTAGCTATACCAAGGAGGCAAAAAGCAAAATTAAGAAAATCTAGTAGTATTGAAAGCTTTTTGCCCTTTAAATGTTAGATGACTAATGGGATGGTGACTTAAGTACTTATTTATTTAATAAATGTTATGGATGAAAAACACAAATATGAATTTTTCCTCTTCAGAGATTTGCTCAATATGACCTCCCCAACTCTTAAATATTTATAGTAATGCATTAATTCATGTATCAAAAAATTATGGCTGAATAATACTTCTTTATTAGATTACTAGTTTTTGAAGAACAAGACAAGGAAGATGCCCTGTTTTGTGTATGAAATTTGTTAATAATTGATGTCCCTAATTTTGAAGAGAGACAAGTAGAAAATATGCCAAGGACAGAATTTTGAAAGCCTATAATAAAATCATGGCATTTGCAGGTAAATGAATGGAGTTAGAGAAGATAATGCCAAGTGAAGTTAGCCATTCCCCCCAAGAACAAATGCCAAATGTTTTCTTTCATATAAGGAGGCTGATTCACAGTGGGATTGGGAGCAGCAGAAGGATGGGAGGAATAGAGATAGGGCAGAGGGGTTGGAGGAAAAGGGAGGGGAACATGGGGTTATTAATGATGGTGGAATGTGATGATCATTATTATCCAAAGAACAGGTATGAAGAAAGGAATTGGTGTAAATATACTATGTATACAACCAGAGATATGAAAAAATGTGCTGTATATGAGTATTAAGAATTGTAATGCATTCAGCTGTAATATATAAATAAAAAATAATGATAAATAATAAAAAAAAGAAACCTAGTTCCTCACTTTCAGAGCTTTGGGACTAAGTGAAAAGTCATCAAATGCTTGAGTGTCCTTTTCTTTGTCTGTAAGATGAAGAGGCTTTACCAAGATGTTCTCCCAGTTTCCTTCCTCATCTTTCCTTCCCAGAGCTGGAAGTCTATGAAACTGCAGCAACCAGTGTGAACAAAGTCATTTATAGCTGGTAGCATTTCCAAGGAAGTGCCTGGGGAAGAATGCACCTGGTTCAAGAACTCCAGTTTACCTTAGTGTGCAAGAGGAAGAGGAAGAAAAAGACTTCATAGAAAATGAACCTAGGGACTCAGGAACGATCAGACCTATTTTGTTTTTTCCTTCACCTGGAAGCATCTTTCATAGAATAACAGGAAAGAACACTAGATATTATCACATTTTCCAGTAAAGTGCACTTAGGCTCTGAAAAGCCATGGAGCTGGCTGGAGAGGTAACCTAGGCAAACTGTGGCATAATCCTATGAATATACTGATCTTTGACCTTTATACTAGTCTTATTGTACATCATGCTAGTACTGGCTTTTTATTTTTTCTTTCTGTCACTATCCGTACTTAATTGGCAGAAGTTAAGTTAGCTTCTACATCTACATGATATTATGGTGTTTAATGCAGGGAAAAAGGGAATTCTTTAGAGAAAACTGGGTATCCAGTTAAAATGCAATTACGAAATCTGTGCTTTTGCAATCCACATACTCTTGGAACAAGAGTTGCTAAAGTGACTCTAAAATCTTTATTGCTTTTACAACAAAATGTCCTTGAAGAACTTTTTGTTTGTTCTCCAAAAGGCTTATTTCCACACCATGCTCAAATATTAAGGAAAAAAATTGCATTAATTATGACTGTTCTTTTAAATGTAAAGATGTTTGTCAATGTTGAAACTAAAAACTATGTGGAAACTGAAAACTGCTCATTTTCCTGTTTTAAAAGATTATATGAAAGGAGAAAACACACAAGATTATTCACACACTATATGAAACTTAAGGCCAAAGGCAATATCATCATGTGACTCTCAAGGTGTGCATTTTAGTCCTTAATGATAAGAACTCAGTTTTTATGGAATTGAGAAGGACTTATGACAGAATGTGCCTGGCAGGAAAGAATGACTCCCTATCTTTAATCTATGTGCCTCTAAGTCCCAAAACACACTGGAAGTGTATTATGCCTTTTTCTTAAAGGCTATAAGTCGTTTTGACTTGTTTCTGGAGATGTTTTTTTTTAATAATGGAAAAGTTGAAACACAAAAAGTGGAAATGAAAACATTGAATTATCAGTTAAGTGTAAAACCATCTAATTTTCAAAGATAGAAAATGGATCCAAGCAAAATAGATGCATAGTTCAATGTCACATGCCACCTTTGTAGCGGATAATGAAGAAATCAAATGTTTTCATCCCAATCTTTGGACAAGTCACGGCATAATGGAAACCTCAAAGACAAGTATTGGAGTAGGCAAAATAGGAATGCAGTTCCTCTGATGCTAATACTATTATATGTATTATAAAACTGTATAGCTGCTTATTGAATGCCAAGAATGCTACATATTCCTCTAATTTCAAAAGAAGATATTTTATGACCTTTGTGAATTAAAAAGTATGGTTTTAAACTGGACTGGACTATCTAGCCTATTTGGAAATATCTCACTAAATTTGAAGTACAACATTGTTAACCATGTACACAGGAAAAGAAATATAATTTAAGATCCCCTCACTTAGTTAAGTCAGTATTTGCTGCTGTGGTTAAATATGCAGGGACTAGATTCTAACCTGGACATTCTCACATTGCATGATCTCCAGTTGTGTTGGAAGCCATTGACCTTGAAACTTCTATTCTTCTGTGCTAATTTGAAAGCAGATGTTTTGGATAGTAGTATCTCCTATATACCCACTTGATTGTTGCTGTTGCATGAAAACTCCTTGACATAACTGGCAGGTTTAACATAATTATTAAAATATCCTTGCTGTATTCCTATGTGGAGTACATACAGCATAAAGGCAGAAAACATGTTGTCTCATTTCTCAAGGATGTTACAAAGTACATATAGCAGATTTGAATCTGAGTTAAACTCTTGCTGTATCTATCTTGCTCTAACATTGTAGTGACTTTTTTAAAAGCATAGAGTGAAATGGTTAAACTGTAGAACTAGATGCTAGAAGTCTGGCCCAGTTTGGACACTTAACCATTCAAATTGGGGCACTTATTTGTTTGTAACACAGCTTCCTTATTTATAAAGTGAGGATGATATTAGTTTGAACCATATTTCACATTTTATTCTTGAAAATGAAAATAAGATGACCACTTTTTCATATGATTTAAACATTTATCCTTACCAGTTGATTAATAAATGTAGGCATTTAGGATAGTGTCAGGCCCTAGCAGACATTCAATAAGTGCTAGCTATTAGTATTATGCAAATCCAGTTTACTCTCTAGAGGGACAACTCTATCATTTAGTTTCCACAATGCATTAACCACTTGGTTAGTAGTATTTTTTGCCTAATCCATTGCCAGTAAGTCATGCAATGTCTTGGGACACTTCTTTCTTCTAATAATTATTTTATATCTATTCCCTCTTCATTAAAATAAACACTTCCTGGACGAGCAGATACATACTGAAAATAGCCTCCATCCTCCTACCCACTACTGCAATTTACTCATTAACTGCCAAAACAGCAAAGTTTTCTCATTTAAAAAATGTTTCACATTTATTCATTATGAGTGCAACCTAAAAGACTATGAATTATAATATTAGCAATATTTGTGCTGAGAGTTGAGTTTTAGAAATCACCAATTAAAATCCAGAATAAAATTTGGTAAAATATAGTAGAGTATATTATTATACATATATACTGTTTAATCTTTTTTCTATGCTATTGTATGAATTTAAAAATTTTTGGATATTTGTTTCCTCTAGTTATGAAATATAATACAAAATCATCATCTTCAATAACTAATACTTCAGACATTTGAGCTTTATGATACTGTGAAAATTCACACTATCATGTCTAGAAATACTATTATATTTTATTAAAGTAACAGAAAAATTATATATTGATTTAAAAGTTTAGTCCTTCTAATAAATAAATAACCAATTTGTTTTATCCTAAGGAATTTTTAAACAAGCTATTGGAGGGTTACTTTCAAGAATGGGGAAGTAAATGATTGCAAAATTGAATTAAGTAATAATTGAACATTAGTCTTTTAATAGAAGTCTTTAATCTTTCTTGATGTTTTATAGTTTATATCAGAAAATTAATTTAAATTATCTGTTATAAAGTAATGATAAAATGTTTAGTGAATAACAATATCAAGTATTAAATTTTGCAAATGGGTTGCATAACTTTGAACTTTTTAAAGTGCTTTGATAGTCTGTACATTCATGGAAGCTCCTGCTATTGACTTTTAGTCTGTCTAAAAAGATTGCATAAACCTACTAGCTCCGCACAAATATATTAGGGATTATACTAAATAACATTGGTTGAAAAAATTATAGCTATAAAATTCATGAAATCTCCAGAAAGTATCCTTTGGGAATAAAGAGCAAAAATAAAATAGAAATAATATTTCTGGACTATTTAGGCTACTTCAAATAGCAGTGTCAGAGTGTCATCTTTTAAATAAGGGAACTATCATAGAACTCCAACTCTATGTTTACAAAACAATGGGAGATGATTTTCTGATCTTTTTCAAAATGATACTTGTGCATTAGTAGCTTTCTCAATATGCTATTAACTAAATGAATAGTATTCAATGAGTTTTGATGATAAATAAGAAGTCACCAGTACTAAAATTTTTTAAATAATTGTGAAATAACAAAACTCTGAATGTTCCTAAGGCAGGGATTCAGAGATTTGGCCCGTACTATATGACAAAGACATACATAGCTCCAGTATAATTTTAAAATTAGCTTTGTAAACTAAAAAGAAAATAAATGAAACAATCTTATGTTAACAAATTAAAAATCCTAGCTTCTTTTTTGGAGGGCTGTGGATTGAACCCAGGAGTTCATACATGCTAAGCTCAGGCCCTCCCACTAGCAGCTTCCTGAGCTGCACAGCTTATTTAAACAACTAACATTGGTAAAGTCAGTGTGGTCACATAGGAACCTGAGAACAAATCTATCTTATCCTTAAATGTGCCACAGACCTTGATCACTGTGGGGAAACTGATGATGGGTCTTAGTCTATGGATGTGGAGTGAGCATACAAGGTAAACAAGCCTTCAATCATTCTTTGAAACTTAAGTTTTCCATCCAGTTTCAGTTCAGTACCTCCTCCTCAAGTTTACATTCATATTTCTCCATTTTGACTTGTAAAAGATTGCCAGATAACATTCATTTAAAAAATAAGAAGGAAAAGTACTCTATTTCTTAATTTCATCCCTTTGTGATTTCAAAATCATTGCTGACCATGTTCCAACCATTATTTTCTTAACTTCCATCATCCAGAAAACATTTTATTCTGTCTTTCCTTGAGTTCTGGTTTCCATTTCTTTATATAAAAATCACTTCTTTTTTTCTGCTTTTGTCTTCCTGCCTCTATGTAAAAACATCTTTACAGTAATTCTGCTTTTTTATGCTCAAACTCTCTAGAAAATAAATCTAGTTTTTAGTCTTCTGTGATTGCAGTAGCAAAGATCAAGAGATCTGACCTTTGAAATATAGACTGATCCTATCACACCACTTGTTGAATCTTTCTTCTGAGGTACATTTTTCTATTATTATTAACACAACTGGACTCTGGTTTCTTATTTTTGTTCTACTCTCTCTTGATTTAGTGTTTCTATCCAAACTTCTATTGCATCCCATCATACACAAGTTTCAATTATGTACTTCATTACAGTAGACCAGAGTACCTTTGGTTTTGTATTAGACCTTTTATTCAAATATCTTTATAAAAAAAAAAGAATCTTAAATTCTCCTTAAAAAATGGCCATGTCATAATTTTTTCTTATTTCCTCTCTTTGGTCTTCTCATGTTACAACCCTTTTTATTGTATAAGCATAGCATAAATGGCTATGTATTAACTAGGCTTAGATTGCTGATGTTTGGAAACCAACTCTACCAACTCAGCTACCCAACTGATGTAAGGATTTTTACTTATAAAATGGGTAATATTACCTCAAATGTGTCAAGATTCATTTAACACTAAGTACAAAAAAAAAGTTCAACATTTGACAATATCAATCCCTAAATAACACAGGTTTTGTTACATCTTACTTTTAAAAAAATACATCAACTACCATTTTATAGTATATCATCAACTAAATATTTTTATGTTCAAAGATAAATCGAATCCCAAACTGCTTTTCCAATCACCTCTCTAATCCTGTCACATCTGCTACCTCCTTCCCTCGTCACTGTATCTAGTTGCATTTCCACACATTTTTTTTCCATACTGTTAATTAGCCTTTTGACACCTTTGCTACAATCCTCTTTGGACATTCAAAATTTGGTACTTCTTCAAAATCCAACTCAGTTCCACTTTCTTCCTGACATTTGTTGAATACTTAGATTTCTCTTTCTAAATAATATTTATTTTCCATATTATAATTTAATACTAGAATACCACAGGTTCCTCTTATCTGTTTTCCTGTAAGTTCTTTTTAAAAAATGTTTCATTTGATTTATTTTTCCTTTCATTTCCAAGATTTTTTTTAACATTTGCAATACACATAAAAAATGTTGACAAACAATAAAATAAATCTGTGGCTGTGTGCCATATGATAATTGAGAGAATAAATAATTGCAACAAAAGCATTCCAATAATCGAAGCCTGAATGCAGGAATATTCAACCTGTTTTCCAAAATAATACAACATCAAAACTATCATTTACTCAATTTTCCACTGACCTTTATGTCAGGTGTTGTTTTTTTTGTTTCCAACAGTATCAGTAGTTTAAATATAAATGAACTTGATATTACAATTAAAAGGTATAAATATTCAGGTGGAAAAAGCAAACTCTAGTTATATCTTAAACTTGAGATAAAATTTATTTTACTCTTTCAATCATACAAAAGCACATTTTGATGCCACAGAATTCTCATGATTAATCCTTATGAGCTTAGAGATAAATTCTAAATAATTAACCTAAAATAGATGCTAGCACTCACATGTCATTCAAGAGTATATGCACTCATTTTGTCTCACAAAGAAAAAAAACATTAGTTGATCCATACTCAGCTATTTATCAATATATAAGGAAAACAGTCTTAGTCTAAAATACCTTACATTGGAGACAGACTTTTTTATTCCAAAAATTTTCCAAAAGATAAATCATAATCCAACATAGATACTAATTCCATTTTAGCAGAAGATCCAGGTGAAAAGCTCAGATTATGGAGCAGACTGTGTATTGGAGTGATGCTAATTCCGTGTCACTGTTAGACAACAGTGACACGGAATTAGCACCACCAACACCTGTCAGTCTTATTGGCCTATATCAAAAGTACTATCAACATTTCGAGTTCGAAGTCAGCCTGAGCAACTTAGTGAGGCCCTAAGCAACTTAGTAAGACCCTGTCTCAAAAAAAAAAAAAAATAATAAAAAAAAATCAAAACTCTGGGGATATAGCTCAGTGGTTAAGTGACCCTGGGTTCAATTCCTGATCAAAAAAGAAAAAAATACTACCAAGAAAACTAGGAATTCCAAGGCTCAGGATATGGTTCAATTTATAATAATATGTTTATATACAATATAATATATATATATTATATATTCATATAATGTTTAAACTCATGAGGCTAAAGATCTGCAGTTTGTTTACAATACAAGAGATACTAATGACCAAATTATCATTAAACAAATATAGAATGCAAATATAGGAATTATCTTAAAAAATACCCTATTTTTATAGTAAGACAACATTGATAACAGAACAGAGATTTCGTTTAACTTTAAAGCAGTTAACATTTTTTGCTAAAGAAAATTCAAAGTAACTTCTTGTCATGAGTAAACTATATTTGAAATCAGTTTCCAGGTTGTCAATTAAGTCAATGCATCAGGGAAACAATGATATTTGTTTATATTCCTGGTATTTCAGGATGCTAAACATGAATGCATGTATGAGAGAGATGAAGGTCTGGGCAATATCACACATTTCAGAATAAATTAATATCTAACCTATTCCAACTCCCATTTCTCTACACTGTGCACCACACTTACTAACCCTCTGTCTAGGTCACCAGGATACTAGCCAGGAAGAAAGCTGAAGCCAGTGCTCTGAGTTGGCCAGCATTATGCCCCACAGGCTCACCTCCAGTAAACATTCATGCCTTCAAGCAGCACAGAAGTCCTGAGTTCACAAAGGTCCCTTCTTTTTACCTTGTTCTTGACAGCTTAATGTCTTTTTAACCCCCATCTCCAAACTCCTTAAGCCATTTACCTTTGCCATACCTGGTTAAGGATTTATGCAGATCTGCTTTCTCTTATTCTGATTTCCATCAATTACAATTTCTGGTAAGTCTGAGGCTACTTGGAATGAATTAGGGTAGCAGATGATATTTGTGCAAATCCTGTTGACCAAATCCCTCTAATTTTAGTTAAAACTACAGTTTGTTGATATATCTGAGATTTTCCTACATATAACATGTTCCAGAAATGTTTTCCTGAATTACTTTTTAAGTCAAATGTAAACATTTGTAAATAGGAAATACTTGAGATAATCAGTATTATACTTTGAGTCAAATATAAACTTTTGTAAATAGGAAATACTTGAGATAATACTACTACTATAAAAAGCTGTACTTCACCAGTTTACCAAAAAATTTCTGCTTCAATCGTAAACATAATGCTTACAAATACAATATATAATTCACTTCTCAGATTTAATCAAAATTCAGTATTAATCTTGATAAATATCCGCCTACAACATTTTTTTCTCATTCAAAAGCATGTAAACATGACTTTGAACATAATTAAAAACAATTATTTTTACTAACCTATGTACCTATAGTTTTATCAGAAATAATACTTAAATTTAAGATAGAAATGTATTCATGTTGAATACTTGTCACATTTTACTCATGGTCACATTATTATCATGTAGAGTTGCAGAAATTGGCAATTACTTTCATGTTGAAGGCACAATATTACCAGTTACCATGAAACATAAAACAAGGGCCCAAAGCCAAAAACAGAGAGAGAGAGAATGATTCGGAATGGCAAAAAAATAAATAAATAAGTAAATAAAATTAGACTACTTATACCTTTTTAATCGTCTTCTCAATAAGCATATCCCCAACTGGCATTAGAATACCTCCAAACACAGCCAGGACTGCACCAATGACAGCCCCAGTGATGAGGCCACAGTTCCGGTCACAGCCCATTTTTCTTGTGCAGGAGAAGAATTGATGTTAAGCACCTGTTTTCTTTTAAACTCTCAGGTATGATTAAGGTGTTTTCTACAAGGTGTGGTTCTATCATTAGAAAGAGATCATAAAACAGAAGCTTAAATATCAGCACAAGAAGATCAAAGTACAAAGAAAACACACAATTTAAACGTGACTTTGCTATCTATAAACAAAATAAATTGTTTTCTTTTAGTTTTACCAAACTGAATTTCTAAGACTTCTCTCTTTTCTGCCTTCTACCTCTCTATCTATGATCGTAATAATGTTAGAACATTTCTTCAAAATTCTTTAGTTTTCTTCCTATGGCTGATTACTAAAGTCTAGGAGAACTGTGTTTATGCACTCCTATCCTCACTACTTTCCCTCAGTCTGAGATGCTTCCTGATAACCTCACCCCTTATATCTTCTGCACCCAAACACAGCTCTCTCCACCCTACTAGAAATTCTCCTGCACTCAATTTGCTTGAACTGAGGTCTTCTCTATCTGAATGTTAACCCACACATGGTAACAGATGTGAATATACCTTATTCACAAACAGCAAGATATGGGTTTTACAGGAAATCACCTGGTGATTAGCAGAAAGAATCGATACTTCTAATCATTATAAAATACCTGTTAAAACAAGAAAGTATGGGTAAATATGGGAAATTATATTATCAAATAATTAATACTAGTAAGCTCTCTAATATCACCATAATTATAACTGTTAAAGTCATATTTACATGTACATTGAGTTTATTCTTGAAATGTTTATCTTATAAACAGTGTGGAAAACATTGAATTATTTAAAATGCATTTTGTTTTTAATTTCATGGTGAATGACTTTTGAATAGATCAAAGAAAGGAACAATTTAAAATACACAAAATGTAGAAGATGTCTTATTTTAATGACAGGCATTTTACTAGTCTTAAAGGTTTTTTAATATATTCAAATACAATGTTGTTTGTCATATGTGGTGTTTCACACAAATTCTATTAAAATCAACTATTTTTATGGATTTCATCTTGCCAGTCTTGTTCATGTTATCATTACACAGTATCTGGTTATTATATAAAAATGAGAAGGAAACAATTTATGGATGAGTGGATGCTGTTGTAAAAATTAATAATAATGTCATTGATGATTAAGAATTTTATTTGAGCTATATTGATTATAATTGCATTTTTTATGATGGACTTGAACTGTCACTGATGTACAGTCAGAATGTGCCTTGTGGCTTATAAACAAATACACTTAACTTCCAAATGCAGGTGGCCAAGGCAAGCATAGATGCCAATAGAACAAAGGCTATAGACAAAGAGGCACACAGTACTTTTGCCAGCATCATATTAACAATAACAAGTATGTTTTGTCATGGTCTCAGGTTTTCCCTTTACATATTTGTTGCAACAGAAGAATCACTTATGATTTCATTGGTGTTCATTTCCACTTGAGGACCATTTAGTTTTAAAAAATAATATTCCTTATGCAGCTAAGAACATAATGGAAAGAGATAAGATTTTTCCCTCAAATGGAGAAATGGTATTTTTTGTTGTTGTTGTTGGCATTTTAATTACTTTTTTACCTCTTGGGAATTCCCTTTACCTACTCCTCATACCTTGGATACTCACATTGTAAACCATAGGAATCATGTACCTCATTCACCCTGAGGCCCTTGTGGCTAAGACACTTGAATAATTCATTAGTGAATTCATTAATTCACAAGTTTATTCCAAAGCAAATGGGAAGCACATTCCTAAACAAGTGATTTGTTTTTATGGTGGCATTTTATGTTTCACGGAACAAGTGAAGCTGGATTTTTAGTAACTGTTTGGGAGAGGGAATGGGAAGAATAGCTTTCCTTATTCTTTCAATTCATACAGTAAGCTACCTCCTATGGCTTTAATCAAGGTTGTAATAATGCAATGAAATAAGTTACTCAAGGACTGAATGTTATCAAAATAGAATATCCTTTGCAAAGTATAATGCTGAAGCACTTAAAGTTTTCTTGAAACAATGTTTTAAGCAACTGAATTTTTTTTGCTAAATTGAAAATATCATTCTGGTAGTTTATTAGCTGTAAATCAATAATTATATTTGCAGATTATATGTAAGCAGCAATCAAAATACAGGAATCCAATCTGGTGCAATTGCATTAGGAGACTGGAGAATCAAAGAAAGACTGACTCTCCTCTCTTGCTAGGTGACCACGGGCAAGCCACTTAATTTCTTGACACTTTGGTTTCATCATTTCTAGATCTAAGAGATCTAAGGCACCATCAGCAGCCTTCAACCTCAGTAGCTGAAATGGTTCTTCGCTCCGTCCTTACAGAAGACCAAAAAGCCTAGTGACTATGTTCACATAGCAGTGGTAATAACCCAGAGGCCCTCATTCCTCACTTGGTTTCCATTCCTGCAACTGTCCTTTCTCACCCTTAAAAAGCTTCAGGAGAAGCTCTGTAAGAACCTGTGGGTATTTGAGGCCATTAAAATCAATGAGGCCCCAAATCTTAAATCCAATTCCAATTTTGTGAACTTAATATGAATTTATGTAAAAACAATATAACTCAAAGATTTAGTAATCTCTTTTGGAAAGTTATGTCTGATATAAAATTCACTAATGTAATTCCTTTAGTAGTAATGTAATTTCCAAATCTGTAGGTGAAATACAGAATGATTTAAAATTTACAGTTCTTTAAAAAAATCACATTTTACTTTAATCAGATATGTACATAGATTTACCCATTTTTTGAGTTCTACATCATGACCTGTGAATATTTTTTCAAACCATTCTTTATTCATCACACGCTACATGAAAGGTTCTGTGCAAGGGGTAGAGAATTCCAAGAGCTGTACCTGGAGGATAATTCTTATGACTGTGTGGACTTTGAGCCCAGATGTGTCAAGCAGTGGGCAGGCCTAGCTATTCCCGGGATTCTGTCTGCTTTAAACTTAAAACTGAAGTGAGTATATACCTCCCAGTTCGACTGACTAAAGTTCATTAGAAAACAGAAGTATCAAGTAATGCATTCAGTTGAATCACATAGCTGGACAACTTTCAGTTATCTGTACCACACATAAAAGTACTAATCTCACATTATTTCAATCACTTACTGATATTTGACAGACTAAGTTTTTCTACTTGTTTAAATTCTTGATTGATTTACTTTTACTACCTTGACATAAGGTTGTTTTATTTCCCTATAAGAATAGGAAACACACATGACATATTTAGGTCCATTTATTATCCTTCAGTGCCCTGACACAGTGAGTAATGATGCTTTGCTAGCATAATCAGACTTTGTCCTGATGCTGTGGTACTATATAGTTGGTGACTTTTTCCTCCCCAGTAACAGATGATTGAATCCAGGTCTTCCACAAGAAGTGGAAGGGCTAGTGTTCTGCCACTGAGTTATATCCCCAGATATCCCATACCCTTTTTAATTTTGAGACATTGTCTCATGAAGTTGCCCCAGGGACTTCGAATTTGTGTTTCTCCTGCCACAATTCCCCAAGTAGCTGGGATAACATGTATGCACCACCATGCCCAGCTCAAAATAGTTTTATTCACTTGAGGCAGGAGGAGGACTGTACAGCGTATGTGAGACATGTACCAAGTATATGAAAGTTGACGGCGGCATATTCTAGCCAGGAGCTTTTTTAAAAAAATACATAATTAACTTCAAAGAAAAATTCTTTATTTCTTCCTTTACACCAGAGTTAGCTATTCAGGCACACAAAATTTGGATCTACCACACTAAGTTTTCTTAATAACACAGCTCCTTACATATTAAAATGTCATTAATTTCATTTTTACTATTTGCCCTTTATAAGAAATGGACACAGTATTGATGTCTTATTTCTTACTTCAGGGCACAAATTGAGAAGGCAGAGAATGAGCACAGGCACAGAAAACTTATGCTAAGAGGGAAGAGAGAATGGAAGGGTATCTTTGTCATTAATTACATACCTTTCTTGATTCTATAGGTACATCAGTTGCTGCCTATTCAGTTTATAGGTTATAAATAGATTCCTTTTGTAGATTTTATTCCCTTGGGCTGTATTTGAAAGAAAGAGGAAAAATATTTTTTTTTTCTGTCAGATTGAGTGTTGTTATAATGAAGTTTTTTTTAAATACCTTTCCTCTATATTGGGAACATGATAGAAATGAAGAGGCAGAGATTTCACAAAGCCTGTGGTAGGCTGTTATAAGAAGGCTCTCTAGCAAATAGGCCAGAACATTAGATCAAATCCTCAGAGAACCTATAGTCATTCCTATGTGTGGTTAAAACTGTGCTCCCTGGGACACTCCACCCAGAAGCGGTGTGACCCAGAGGTAACATTCACTGGGTCACATTCTGAAAAAGCTTCACATTTCTAGGGTACTTGTACCAGAAATAAGTGATGAGACCTGAATGTCATTTTTGTTTTAATTGATTGGAGGATATCTAAAATTTCCTATTCTTTCCTTCAAACTTCTTCAATTTTTCTGAAGGTATAAAGCAAGGCCATGTACCTCTACTTTCCCCTATTAATCTTTAGTATAGTCTTCCCACCATAAAAAAAGCCCATATAACCCAATATATGGAGTTACTGGGGATAATCAAATTGGATATAAGTATAGATGTTAGGTTTTAAAATTAAATTCCTTTCCATACTCTTATCCTACACCATATTTATGTGTGTTTACAAATCCATGGTTCCTTAGACATGGGTACTATACACTCAACTCCAATGTATTTGAAATGGGTGCAAATCCATCATTTACATCTGACTATATTTCATCTTGTGGAAATGAGATGATTGATTAGGTCAGTTTTTATAGAGACAGCTCTAGTTAAAGCATATACATAATCTTCAGCTATAAAGACGATTCAAAGAGCTACAACTGTTGTTCCCTCATTTAGGCTCAAGTCATCCCCACAAAATTAAAGGACTCTACAGAAAACTTAAATTGGATCAGGAAGCTTCCAACACCTATCCTTTGACATACATGCTCATTTGAATCCCAACAGAATATATTAAGGTTAAAAATAGCAGGAAAAAAAGTGTATAGGTATAATTTAAAACAGTAATGTATCTAACTAAATTATGCTTATTAAATATCACAATGTGAAACTTGTTTTGATAATAATCTTGAAAAAATACAATGCATGCATTAGCTTCACATATGCTTATAATCCTTCAAGAACTAAATCTGTCTTATAGAGACTTATGAACTAGGAATTACTATAAGTTTTAAATGACTCTTTTAGTCATGTTGACTTTAAATACAATTATCTATGCCCATTTTTAATGATTGAACCCTATATACAAATGTGACTTTTTTAATGCTATTATTTCTACACCTAAAATTCACTGTAAATGGAAAGAAACTAAAAGATTTATAGTGGTTAAAACTCCATACTTGGAGTTTGGAAATAGAGATTTAATTCTGGGTCTTCATGTGGAAGCTTGTGATTCAATTTCTCTAATAAGTCTATTATATATCAAGTAAGTCTGCAAGTATTAAATGAGAAAATGTTTAAAAATTCTCATAGAAAATAAAATGCATATTTTACGTAAATAGAAATGACTATTGGCAAGACAATAAAATCTGATATATCGATAGACATATGAAATTAAACTATCATACAAATGAAAAAAAGAAGCTTCTACCTTAGAACATGCTACTTGAAAGTTTTAGCCATATCTTGGGACAGTGAACTAAAACATCTTGTGATTAAATTAGACAATAGTTACAGAATTAGTTCCTTCTGGAAATAGAAAACAACACACAAATAATTTGGGAGTGAACATTGCCAGTATTTCATAAAAATAAGGATAGCAAATGTAATCCTCAAGGTCAATTCCTACATTTTCAGTACATTCTGTACCTCTCCCATTGTTAATTTAAGATTTCTTCCAGGTTAACATGTTATCTGATGGTTCTGAATTTAGTTTATTGTTCTGGTTCAATAATGACTTGAAGAGATTACAAGGTTTCTACATTTTTTTCTTATTAACTCCAAGGATCCACAGTAATATCTACATGACAAATTTTTAAAGATTTCATTCTGGTTTCCTTGCAAGTCAATATTTAAAGTAAGTTTTTCTTTTAATATAAAAAGATGTTATAGATTAGAACAATATAGAAAAGGATGAAAAAGTCTGAAAAATCTTTAAAATCATCTTTCAATGTGTGACTTAATTTACTAAAAGGAATTTGTGCCATTTATATTTATAAAGTTACTCATTATAATTAATTGAGCCTTTTAATTAATTTATCCAGAATGACTTGTCCACTATATACAGTATAATTATTTAAGACAATTCATTAATGTTTACAATTATCTTCCTGAATTGTAAAAGTATAAATTTTGCCTTATTTTTGTTACCAAATTATAATATGCACTATTAAATTTCAGATTATTGTCGAAAATGGATATTTTTTACCATTCCTAGCAGCAATTACACCATCAGGGTTCATTAAAAAAAAAGGCTTAATAAACATATCCGATATATACCTTGCATTTAACCATGTACACAAAGTTAGGTTCATCAAAATTTATACAATTCAGCTTGAAAATGAGAAAAGCTAATGACTGTAAAGTAATCAACAATTGCACAGTATAAAGGCTGTTGACAGAGTTGAAAGTCATTTATAAAAACTAACGTCATTTTAATGTTCATCCTAATCGAATATTATGTATAAATAGCCTAAGTATAAAATGAATTCTGCTTTCATTTGGATTATAAATCATTTTAAATACTAACAAATGTTTAAGGATAGACATGATATTAAACATTCAGAAATGAAAATGTCATTGGTCATTGGTCACTGTTAATATTTAAGCATAAAATGGAACAAGATTCACAATTGAGAAAAACAACATAAACCTGATTTTAAAATTAAACCTAGATACATTAAGAAAAAAGTAACTACTTTTTGTTTTTCCTGCTCTGTGACTTGTCTGGAATACTTATTTAGTATCATCTTCTCCCATCATTTAGAAAATGGAAAATTTCTTGATCTTTTCTATTTAAAGAAAAATCATGACTTACCTTTAAAAGAGTTATTAAGGAATTTTCAGTCAAATACTCCAACATTTGAACAGACAATTCTTCATAGGACCAAATGACCTACTGCAGAAAAATCCTATCCTGAAACCCTTACCAGCATGTGTGTGTTAGAGTTTAAATATGCTTAAAAAAAAAAAAAAAGAAAAAAGAAAAAAAAAAAAAACTACAACGTCAGATTCCAGTGTGTGGTTTGCTGCCAGAGGAACTGAAAAAAAGAAAAGAAAGAAACCCCACAGATATCATGCTACTGGGATTGGTCTATTTTTATGGTCTGCTAAAGACCCATTACCTATATCTGAGATATTCAGTATTGCCCCCCCACCCCCAATTTGGCCATCTTCCCATCCAAGTAAGTCAGAGGCCAGAGAAACAAAAGGAACTGATTTGTTGAGCCACCCCTAATGTATTTTACTACACAATCATTTTTCCAGATGCCAAACTGGGGGTAGAAAAGGGAAAGTGGGGAACATGATCACGTTCTCACTTGCCGGACAAGATTGACCTTGCAAGCTCATCTGATAAAGCTGAAAGAAAATGTACTTTTCCATAGAACACACCATAAATCTGAAGTACTTTGAAACTAATAATTTTGAAAACAGTTGGAAACTGTCAATTAACAGGGATGACAAACAGACTTTAAAAAGGGAAATAGCCTATTGTTCTAGCTTGACCTTCTTAACTGTTTATCACTCAGTTTTAGAGAAGTTTCAGGAGCACAGCAAGATCCTTCTGCAGGGGAAAAAAAATCCCTTAATAGTCTGAAGCCAGACTATAAAATAACATTTAAATTAAGATACTATTGAAGATGATCTTTTACTGTAAAAAAAAATAGACCCTTTACTTTCAAAGAAAGGAATTATGTTCATATCTAAAATAGTTATTACATTTGGCGGTAAGCGGACCCTCAACGTTAGGACCCTTAATCTTACAAAGTAATTCTTAGTATCAAGTTGGTTAAATCTTCAGAAAGTTAAACTGGCATATATTGGATAGGTCAACTGGATAAATGCCTACAAGTCACTCTTGAAATAAAGTAACCTAAGAATAATGAGCAGAAATATATTTAGTTCATTAGATTATATTAAAAAAAACCCTATCCTTATGTTACTCTTGCTGTTTCTGTTGTTCATATTAGATATGTTTCTTCTCATTTGCAAGCAGCACAATACAACTGGAAAGGAACCCCAAACTCCTCTGCCAAGCATTGCTTTTGTTTTTCCAGTGTTTTTACTGAGTATTTATTTTAAAATAACTATGAAGCCCTAAAAATAGATAAGTGATATGATATTTGAAAAAGCATTCTCATTAGGATTTATACTTTTCATTAAAAAAAAAAAGTGTACAGAGATTCCAGAAACATAAGGCAATTCCCTTGTGACTACCACCATTTATCTTGGTTGTATGATGTTAAAAGTGTAGTATAAAGGGCAATCTTAACTATTTTGAAGGTATATGTAAGTACTCTGCTGTAAGTATTTTCTTCTCAAACATAAATCATATGATTTATATATACATACATACCAGTATGACAATTTTAAAACAGCTTTCAAACACAAGAGTTAAGATCTATTTTAGAGTATATTTAAAATGCTTGACGGGATAGTTAAATTATAATAAATGTGAACACAGAAAGGTATTTCAGAAAAAAAATACATGCAAAATAGATGTAAAAGGATACTGACCTTACTTGAATAATTATTTAATCAGTAGCCTAATGCCATCCAAATCCGACTATGCTTGGAGAAGAAAATGTCACACGTTCCCATGAGCAGTCCAAGGAATCAAATTTACATCCCCAGAGACAACTGTGAAGTGTCCAGTCCCATGGACAACATCCCCCGAGTAGCTTGGCATTCCAGAATGGAAAAGCACATAGCTGAACCAAATCTACAACCATGGATTTTGAGGAAAATATAGACCTTGAACAATAAAATAGGCATAGCCTTTTGCTGCCTTAAAAATGAAAATGCAGCATTTTTAAAGAGTGCACACCCACCATATTTTGAGAGAATCTATTTTATGTGAGGGTACACTTATCCTTATGTACATCCAAACAACCATAGACAAACTTATTAGAATGACAATTTAAAAACTTCAGTACTATTGTTCACTTAGCCACAATAGTTTGGAAAATCAACTTTAAAACATGATTTTTTTTAAAAAACCACATAGGGTTAAAAGACATAATTTTTTTTTGTGTGTGTGTGGTGCTGGGTTTGAACGAAGGACCTTGTGCATGCAAGGCAAGCACTTTACCAACTGAGCTATATCCCCAGCCCAATAGAAGAAAAAGTAGGCCCTAATCTTCATCATGTAAGGTTAGGCCCCAACTCCCTTAATAAGATGCCTATAGCACAAGAATTAAAACCAAGAATCAACAAACGGGATGGATTCAAACTACAAAGTTTTTTTCTCAGCAAAAGAAATAATCTATGAGGTGAACATGGAGCCTACATCCTGAGAGAAAATGTTTACTCCTCACACATTAGTTAGAGCACTAATCTCTAGGGTATATAAAAAACTGAACAAGCTAAGCACCACACACACACACAAATAATCCAATCAATATATGGGCCAAGGACCTGAACAGACACTTCTCAGAAGAGGATATACAATCAACAAATATATTTAAAAATGCTCATCATCTCTAGCAATCAGAGAAATGCAAATCAAAACTACTCTAAGATACCATCTCCAGTAAGAATGGCAGCCATTATGAAGACAAACAATAAGTGTTGGCGAGGACGTGGGGAAAAAGGTACACTCATTCACTGCTGGTGGGACTGAAAATTGATGCAGCCAATTTGGAAAGCAGTATGGAGATTCCTTGGAAATCTGGGAATGGAACCACCATTTGACCCAGCTATTCCTCTTCTCGGACTATACCCAAAGAACCTGAAAACAGCGTACTACAGGGACACAGCCACATCAATGTTTATAGCACCACAATTCATAATAGCTAAACTGTGGAGCCAACCTAGATGTCCTTCAGTGGATGAATGGAGAAAAATATGTGGCATTTATACACAATGGAATATTACTCGGCACTAAAAAAGAACAAAATCATGGCATTTGCAGGTAAATGGATGGCGTTAGAGAATATTATGCTAAGTGAAGTTAGCCAATCCCCCAAAACAAATGCTGAATGTTTTCTCTGGTATAAGGGGGTTGACTCAAAGTGGGTTAGGGAGGTAGAGCATGGGAGGAAGATTATTTCTAGATAGGGAAGAGCCATGGGAGGGAAAAAAGGGGGGGGAAGGGAAATAGCAAGGATGAGGGAATGTGATGGTAATCATTATACAAAATATATTTATGAAGATTTGAATTTGGTGTCAACATACCTTATATACAAACAGATATGAAAAATTGTGGTATATAGATGTATTAAGAATTGTAATGCAAAAAAAAAAGAGTACATGTCTAATGGCATAATTTGGTGTGAAAATACCAAACAGAGTTACAAAAACTGTGCTGTAAATGGGTAATAATGCATGTAAAGCATTCCACTATTGTCATGTATGTAAAAAATAAATTTTTAAAAAAGACATAAGTTTGAATCATGCTACCAGGCACTATTAGGTAGAAGTTAAATAGGAGTTGTTTTCTTTTTAGCTCTATCAAGTTGAATGTGATGTTTTGATATGCATTGTGAAATGATTACCATCATCTATCTAACTGGTGAGAACTGAGGTGAGGAATACACAATACTTGACAGGGCCCTACCACCTACTGGTCCCCCAAACTAGAATGCTTCCCTTATAATCACTTCCTTTTCTAAAGTCCTCTTCCTCCTTTCTTCTTTCTCTGTTTTGCTTTCCACAGGTCACTTTTCAGTGTTGGGCACACTCCACAATTGACTTTCTAACTTTTTTCCCCCTATCTCTGTACCTACTAGAATATAGAGTCCATGAGGAGGGGAAAAAGTCTAACTTCCAAGAGCATGGAACAGGGTCAGAGTTGCTAATCAGTTGAAAGAATGGACCTATACAATGATTATTATAATAGAAAAAGGAATGAGAATTTATGAAAATGAGAGCTATATGCTGCTTTTTTATAGCATGTATATGTAATGGTTGGAACTGGAAATTAAGAGTATCTGCTATGAAGATGAAAGAATCCATGTTTGAATTCATTACTTCCTAAGTGTATGACTTGTGGCTAACTTCTTTACTTCTGGTAGCCTTCACATAATTGTTGTAAAGATTGAGAGTGATAATATAAAGGACTTCACACAGAGCCTAACATAGTTTTTGCTTAATAAATAATAGCTGCAGTTATCATTGCTAATAAGCAAAATTTCATTTCAGGAAATCTATTAAAGAAGGCAAGTAAGATGGTAAATTATAGAAAGGTATAAAATGAGAAATTTCCAATTTGAGAAGCAATGTTAGCTATATTAACTACTATAGGTAGTTTAATAATGTCAAAATTATATATTCATGTATGTGGCATAATATATATACTGAATCATTTTCTGAAACTTTCCTCTTATATTATGTTCCTTGCAGGTATTCCTACATCATGAATAGTCCATTATTGTTCTATTGCAAGATATTTCATAATAAGTGCTGTACTCCTTTTAAATAGTAAAACCTGTATGAATGAACATCATTGTTTCTAGTTTGCTGTTCTTATAAAGATAAGGCACAAAATTCTCATAGCTTTATGTACATGTACCCTGGACACCAGTGTATGCTGTTTTTCAAAAATTCCAAGGATTGTCAAATTTTTATTTGTACACAGCCATGTGTGAGAATGCCTGTCTTTATAAATATTCACACTGGTTTATACTGAAATTTAAGATTTTAACAAGTACGTTGGTGGTTTTTAAAAGAATATTTAGTTCAATGAAATATAACATTTTCTAAAGTATACTAGCCATTTATTTTAAAATACGTATAATATCTTCATTTTTTTCAGTGTTGATTTGTCTTATCCTCAGTTTTTTCCAATAACCAATGTTATGATATTTGTCATTTTAAAATTTTTTCATGTTTTACTTTATGTGTACTGATGAATAAAATTTTCAAATTTCGGTTATTTATACAAGTTTTAGTCATTTCCTTTTAAAACTCGTGTCATTCTTCGAACTGCTTTCTTTACTTTGAGAATATGAAAATTAACAGGATTGCTTCTAGAGAGTTCATGGTTCATACAAATTCTTTGCAGCAGTATGTTGGACAAGCTGACTCATGGAATTTAACT